GGGGTTGGACTCTATCTCTGGAGGTCCCTTCCAACCCCTACAATTCTGTGATTCTGTGATTGCAGCCGGTCACTATTCTGTGATCGGTGCCACATTGAGAAAGGAGGCTTTCTGTCTGAAAACTTGTTTCCTTCTGTCTTTATCTGATTTTTGACCTCACAAGGAAATGTCATTTCACAGACTTGTTTGTGTCATATCATTTTAACCTGGATACATCTCCTGTGTCAGTTTGCCACTGATGTATGAGTACTTTTGCTATTGCGGAGGAATGTGCCATCACTCATGGGAGGGACAGCAGTGTTGTCTTTCCATGTGCAAGTAAGAGCGTTGTGGTTGATTTTAACTTACCTGTGAGGCTTTGATGTAGGGTTTTAACCTTTGCTTCAGTTTCCTGATCTACAGTTATAGAAGAAAACCTTGGTAAAAGGCTGAGAGGTGCATTAGATACAGAGGCTGTCATAAGGATGGTTAAAATTGGAAAAGATATGCCTTGCTTTTTTGAGCGTCACCTTAACAACAGCAAAAGCAACCTGAAGCAATTAGAAGTTTTCAAGTTTCCTTAAGTTAGGAAATTAAATACATTCAATGTTTGCTTCTAAACTTTTATAAGGTGAGGCCAGACAGTGAGCAGAATTTATCTGAAGACAGCATGGTTCTTTCAAAAAGTTCTCTATGTGAAAGAATGGAAGAAACAACACCAAGTCTTCAAAACTGTGAAGAAAAAAGGCTGCCTGCAAGCATGCACGTTGCTCAAGAAGACAGGCACCAGGAAATCTGGTCAGTCCTTGAAGGTGTATGGAATACAATGAATTTGTACAGGTATGGTGTACTACAGAAATGTCTAAGTTAAACATAACTTTACGTCATTTCCACTCAAAAATACCATAGGAACTACTTGTTTTTGCTCATCTTAGAGAAGAAGCTATTAGTAATTAATTGAGATTAATGAAAGCAGCACACAACTTGTCACACAAAGAAGCGAGGAGCATAAGAACTATTATATAGATGCAGTCACTGATCTGTATAGCTTGCTGTTCTTTTTCCTGGCAGTGTATGAGTAACTTGATAGAACAGTGTTGAAGAGCTTGTAAGATGCACAAATGGGAGACTTCAATGAAAATGTAATCTTTTTCTATAGAAAGAGGCATTCAAGCTCTGTGTTTTCCATTGGTGACTTCCTTCTCAAACCCTGTGGAACTGTACTAGCCTATACAAAAGCACTTTTAAAATTATTTTTAAACCTTAATTGATTGGAAATAGTTTTTAAGTAAATTTTTTCATCTTAAAGGTGAAATATCCAAATGCAGAATCTCAAGCTCAAAATTGCATGTAAGAAAAGTCCCTCCATTAGAAGTCTTGCTGCTGTTTTTGTTATTTTTGAAGAGTCTGCTTGAAAATCATTTTAACACTGTGCTTTTTTTTTTGCATGTTATTAAAAAAAAAGTGTGAATAAATACTGTGACATTTTTGTAGTCTTAATCTAAAATCTTTTTTGAGATCTGGGCTCTGAGTTCTGTCAAGCACAAAGGAATGTTGTGTTTTTTTTTTATAATCTGTTAAGAACTCATATAATAAACAGTAACTCTACCCATGCCACTTCTAAACCAATCTTTCAGTATGCTGTGGATCTGCACCAGTGTAATTCTTTTGGGCTTGCACCAATGCAGATTAATCTGACTTGAAGCTCAAGAAGGTGACTTCATGTGCTGTTCAGGCCAAATGAGGATCTGCATCAGAAAACAGTCTCAGTGTAAAACAATTCCTCCTCCAGAGTGGGGATAATTGGTTCTCTGGCTGGAATATTTCTCAGTTTCGTGGTTGCAAATAGACATTGTTTCATGAGAAAATCTATTTCAAAAATACCACTTGAAATGAAAATGGAGCTGAGTTAAAGACTGTGGTGTGAAGAAAATACAACATTCTGGAATTGTTGGTCATTTCACACTCATCTTACATCAAAAAAATCCTGCTTATCTCCCACCAGTGGAGCTTATTCTTCATGAATGCAATGCAGCTTGTGGTCCCAGTGCAACCACTGAAGGAAAGGTGTCAGTCCTGTTCCACTAAATATGGAAAATGAAAAAGCTTGGACAAGTACATAGAAAGCAATTTTCTTTGCTTCTTCAGCCTAAACATCCTCTTCTGGGGGTTTGCAGAGGCTTCCTAGACTTCTTTAGATGATATGGTTATAGTATTGATTGATGTTTGACCTTGTTTTATTAATAGTCAGAATGCAGTGTATACAAACAACAGTGAATGTAAAGGATTTTTACTTACTGCTTTTCTTTGTTTCATCTTTATTTTTGTAATATTAGGCTTGAAATTTTCCAGAAGTTAGAGTCTAACACAGTAATTGTGAAGTCTTCATTTGAAGAAGCTTTTTCAGGACTGCAGAAACTGTTAGCAGCTGTGAATTATATCCTTGAAGGAATTCGTAGGTGAGCATTTCAGCAAGTCATAAGAACAGCAATCACTGAGTCCTAAAAGTCACTTAACTATTGGTGCCAAATTAGAGGTTACATGTTCATGCTTAGTTTCATAATTTTCAGTAACATCTCAGTATTATATGTATATAGTACAATTTATTGGTAATGAAAAAATAATTAACTCTTGGTAGACCACCAGATTTCTTGCAGTGAATTTTCTCTTTTATGACTTGAAACTTGTTTTGATGTGATGACAAGCCACTGGCAACTGCTTGTAGTGTAACAGTAACTGTGACATGGTTAAATGCTGCATTAGTGGCAAGAGAATCATTTAGAACATTTATTTTTCAAATGTGAGGCCTGCTGGAATTGGGTATATTTCTGATGGTTAAATGGAATTTTGAGATTTCATTGTTACTTAATTCTAGAGTATTCTTAATTATTCTTAATGAGTCAAAACCTGTTCTATTGCAGTGGTAACAAGCTGAACTCTCTGCTTCGGCAGTTCCCTCTGTTCCTTCTTCCTCCATTTTTTTTTTTTTGTATGTGTGTGCTGAAAAATAAATATGGACTGCAGAAAGATGAAGGTATTTCTTGTGCAGTCTTTACATAGTCCTCATTTCATAGCAGTGAAGTTTAATCAGCAGCAGGAACAGCTACAGAAGAATACTTGAAGTTCTCTTGACTGTGCAGCTCTCTCCATTTCCTGCTCATGTCCTGTAAAGGGTTCTTATAGAAACTGCTTTGTAATTGTGATTGAATCACAGAATCACAGAATCACAGAATTGCCAGGGTTGGAAGGGACCTCAAGGATCATGAATCTCCAACCCCCCTGCCACAGGCAGGGCCACCACCATTCCACCTAATGCTAGACCAGACTGCCCAGGGCCCCATCCAATCTGGCTTTGAACACCTCCAGGGACGGGGCATCCACAACCTCCCTGGGCAGCCTGTTCCAGTACCTCACCACTCTCTCTGTAAAGAATTTCCCCCTGACGTCCAAAATTGGACGATTGAAGTTACAGATACTGCTGTAAGCATCCTTAACAGAGGTGTTTCTGACACTTTTTCTTTTCTCTTACTGGAAGCAACTTATCTTCTATATTTTCCCTTGTGGAAGAACTCTAAAATAACAAGGTCTGCCATTATGTCAGAGAAATCTGTTTTTCAGAAAATGTGCCTTTTGATTAGAAAAGTGCTTGAGGCAAACAGGATTCCGGTCCTTTGTTGAAATGAGGAATCTATTTTCTGTTCCACATGATTACACTGAAACTCAGTAACGTTTATGAAATAATTCTGAAATACTCTTTAATTTTTCTTTTCTACTACTAAACTATAATACACTATTATTAGTTCTGTAAATAAAAGTGGTTTTCTTAAAATGTTTCAATTTGAAAAGCTTGCTGTGAGTTTGTCCCCTGAAGTTGCAGTAGGGGGCGTCGTGGGGCAGGAAATTCAGGAGCTATATATACAACGTGTGTCTGTTTTCATACAACGTGTGTCTGTTTTCATACAACGTGTGTCTGTTTTCAT